GAAGGACGTTAAGAAAAACAAAAGTAAGAAGGTCAGGATTCAGATAGGAAGCTGCTGCTAACATACAAATATTGGCCCGCAGCTCTCCAAACTGGCTCTGCATTGCCAAGGGCTTCAAGTCTGGAAGGATCTTTGAGGGTCATTTGATGACACTTCATTTCCTGCTTCTATGCTGACTTTGGAAAAGTGACCTCCACAGAAGACATCTCTGTGGCCTCCATAGCAAACAGAAGTCACTATGCCTGTTCCCCTCTGTACCAAATAGCCTTTCCTGGAAGGTGGGAGAAAAAGAAAGCGGGTAACCCAGAATGTGAAGAATTTTTGGAAAGAAAAAGTTTTTATTTTATTTTTTATTTTATTTATTTATTGTTTTAAATATATTTTATTGATTTTTTTTTTGCCCCCCTCCCTCCCTCCCACATAGAAAGAAAAAGTTTTTACATCCTCCCTCAACTCTGAAAATATTCAGTATGTCTCAGTTTACGTTGTAACAATGTGAATAAGTACAAGGTTTCTTTCTGAGAAAAGTTCTAGTGTACTAGAATTTTCTGTGCTCCTTTTTGCTAATAGTTTTTAGTCTCTTTATATAAGATAAAAGGGCAAGGTAAAGATAACATTTGGGATGTAGTTGGTGTATTTGATTAAAACAGCAGCCAAATCACATAAGTTCTACCTAGGAGATATTTCTTTAACATACATGTAGGTTTAATATGTGTCAATGTAAGACATATTCAAACCCATAAAGAATGTTTATGAGTTTATTTAAGAAACTGTCGACAACTGCCAGGAAGCAAAATCTGAATGGGTTGAGATAATGCTCTGAGAAAGGCAGTTTTGCACCTTGTTTTAAACATTACAATCAAAATGGGAGATTTAAGGGGGTTGAAATCCACTGGTGATAGATTAGGGAGGTGGGAGAAAGCCACATACTTCTTTCACTTAGGTGGGTCTAGGATAGATAAAGTCAACAATTAACTCAATAACAATGAGGGGGTTTGTGGTCTCCACAGGAGCTTTGAGGGGTTGGAAAAAAGGAAAATTACTTTGACATTCCAAAGACATGTTATCATAGATGCAAAAAGATAACAGACAAGCTCAGGTAAGGTAAAGATTGACCTTTGTCAGGAAAGATACAAACCTATGGCTACCCACCATAAACTGCATTTAGTTAAAAACGTTTAATTTCAGACCATCCTTTGTGGCTCCTTTAGGTCTCTGAGTTTGCACCACACAGGCCTCCCCTGAGCTTGTCAGATTTAGTATGTGGCCTCTTTCGCCCACACATAGATTGATGTAGCTTTGAACAGTCATCAAATAAAGGAAATCTAAGAAAACAATGCAGAGCCACACAGGTGAATAAAACCAAGACACTTCCAGGACGTTGGCACTGGGCAGATCAACACTCCCCAGAAGAAAGGAAGCTCGGTGACCGGCAAATTCTTGTAGTACTCTGCAGCTTACTTGGGAATGCTACCCGTATGTAAACTTGGCTTGGGAATGCTACCCGTATGTAAAGCTTGCCTTGCCCAGAGGATATTAACATGCTCAGCTGAAGTTTAGCCATCTCACAGGCTGGTTATTATTAACAGGAGGTGTTTAAAATCCCTTTGAGAAGACAATTAGAGATTACTGCATATAAAACATACCACTCTGGTGGTTGCCCAGATCTGGAGGGAGGAGGGACTAGGGATTTAGTGTTTAATGGGGAGGAGGAGAGGATTAGGAATTAGTGTTTAAGGAGCAGAGTTTCAGTTTGGGATGATGGAAAAGTTCTGGAGATGGATGGTGATGACGGTTGTAAAACAGATGAATGATATAAACGCTACAGAACTGCTGCACACTTAGAATTGATTAGACCAGTAAATTTTATGTCATGTAAATTTTACCACAATAAAGAAATGTAACATGTTCCCTGGCTGGTGTGGTTCAGTTGGTTGAGCATCATTCTGTGCACCTAAATTGGTTCAATTGGTTCCCAGTCAGGATACAAGCCCAGGTTGCAGTTGGATCTTAGTAGATCTGAGTGTATTAGTTTCCTGTGTTGACATAATAAATGACCACAAACTTGGTGGTTTCAGACAACAGAAATGCATTTTCTCACAATTCTGGAGGCAGAAACCCAAAATCAAGGCTCTAGGGGAGGACCTCCCTGCGTGCTCCAGCTCTGGTGGCTCCGTGTGTCCTGTGGCTTAGCCTGCACATAACTCCAACCTCGGCCCCTGTCTCTTCACATGGCCTCTTCCATGTGAGTTTCTTCTTCTGTCTCCTATGAGGACATGTGTCAATGGACTTAGGTCCTACCTGGTCCTAACTTGAGAACCTTAACTTGATTCCATCTGCAAAGACCTTTTTCCCAATAAGGCCACATTCACGGTACCAGAGTTTAGGACTTGGACATATCATTTTTGGGGAGGAAGGTTCACAATTCCACCTGTTATTCTGAGTGATTTAAAACTATTACTCAGGCCCATCTGATGCTCCGACTTCATTACATCAGTACATTCAGAGGGCGTTTTTAATGTGAATGCTCTTACTCAAGGTTCCTCAGAATGACACACGTGTGTTTATGGACCAATCCACTCATCTGAGTCATGTATATTTTTAGAAGCATGACTCTGTCATTTCAAAATAAGATATGATGTTAAAAGGCTACATGTAAAAGTAAAAAACAAACAAACATTCAGACAATTACAGCATTGCAAAAACTTTTGCACCTTTTTCAGAAGGGAAATTTTTAAGCACAAGAGGAGAAAGATGGAGGAAACAGAACTACGTCAGTGATTTCTGCTGCCATTCCCTCTGGGAAGTGTCAATGAATCAGGCTTCATTGTAATTCACGTTTGAACATAACGTTTTGTTTTTCCAGAGCAAAGGAATACATCAGGAATGAATGGCTGATATTGTAAGCATATCTGAAGTAGCTATTATATTAGGAATAGGAATAGCTGCAGATACATAAATACATAATGAGAAGCCTATAGTTAATTAATGAACATCAGACACTTTTAGAAACAGAGAAAATAGATCTGTAAGATGGACAGAAGAACAGGGTGGATACCGAAAGCAGTGTGGGGTGGGGAACAGCATGACAACCATGGGGAAAAAAATGATGACTGCAGATTAATTGGGAAGCCTAATGGAGAAGAACTAAACAGAAGTGTCTCCCTAAGGTATAGCCACCTAGAGGTTTCACACATCCTTCAGCAAGAAGAGACTGGCATGGATAGAGGAATTAATCATATTTGTACAAATTTATTAGGGTATTTAAATATATTTCTATTTTGCCAAACTTGTTAAAATGTACGGTATTCATTCTTCACAGTGGGTTTGGTTAGGTTTCTGTGAGCTAAAATTCCTCTGTTCTTATTAAAGAAAATTCCACATATTAGTATATGCAGAACCAATGGACACAGACTATAGTGTGGTGAAAGCCTGGGATGGGGCAGAGGCTGAGAGGAGGGGGTAAAGAGAGAGAAAATTGGGGAACATCTGTAATATCGTCAACAATAAAATTAAATTTAAAAAAAAAGAAAAGCAAAGGAAATGAGAATGACAGCTAAATTGGGTAGACCCAAATAAAACTTCAGCCAAGATCCTGGTACTAAGGATCAGTAGACGGACTAAGTAGCAACCTTATAAAATGGAACTCGGGTAAAACTTGCTTCTATTTGATGATGCCATTTGCATTTATAAAACAAACCCCAGTCCTTCTGGCCCTTTAACTACCTTCACTACATTTAAGATCAGAAACTAAAAATAATTTTTAAAATGAAACTAATTCTTAAAATGATGACAGAAAAGAATTCTTAAAATGACCACTAAGAAACTAATTCTGAAAAGGATGATATTCTAAAATAGTACAGTTAAATCCATCAAGTTTTACTATCAACACCCATCCCTCCTATCCACAGACTTCTGAAATTTCTCTATCTTTGCAACAAAAGCCAAGGAAACACCAACACATCAATGCAATGGATATTATTGTCTTGCAAAGTCTGCTAAACAGGATTACAAACAAAGGAACTTTTAGTGTTGGATACTTAGATTAGTAGTTGACTTTTTTGACCAATCAGGCCCCGTCTTTCATTTAATTCCACTGTGGTATTTTTGTTTGCATGCTCTCACACTTTTAACATAGATAACATAAGTTCAGCTTCCGCATTACAAAGGAAAGTGTGAATAAATTCATCCTGTATATTCTTTGGTCCAACCTCTACCAGCAAAACCAGGGATGAAATATTTCTAGTTATATCTCAATATAAAAAAGGGACATTGCTTTTTGTTTTATGAAGAAAAATTCATAAGTGACATATACTTGAATTCTAATCATTCAAGCAAAAGTGTTAGAGAGCTCTCCCACCCCAGCTTTTGTTAACTGAAACAGGACCAGAATTCCAAGAGAGGAGGACTGTTCCTCTGGGTCCAATCAAGTAATAGAGAGGAAGTGGTTGAGTCTGATCAATTTTGCTATGAAGCCCTTAATCTAGGCAATGATTACAAATGCATGCACTTAATTTGAACGGTGATAATTAGGTTGGATTCCAGATGACTCATTTTGTCAACCTTTGGCCATCAGGGTTCCAGCTGGCCTGGGCCATGTGCTGCCTTCCCGCTGACATCAGTGGAAATCTTGAGTCAGGATCAAAGCGACTTGATAACTCCCTGACCTTTCTTCACAATGCTCGGCGGGGCCTGGCTTCTCTGCTCAGAATTTTCGGATTCGTTTCCCTGTGCCGGTGGGGTCACCACTTGCAGACAATCTACATACAGAGATCCTACCATGGGCTCATCGGAAATCACATCTTGGATTCTAGCTTTCAGGCAACTCCCTAATCCACACCCCAAATATATCAGGAAATCTCACTTGCTGAAACTTCAGTGCACAGAGAGGTGGCGGAAGGGTAGAGACCCGAGCTCATTTTACCCCCTAGAGGTCTGCCACTGGCTCGCTTTCCTCTAGAAACGCACTGTAAGAGTCACACCAGAGAAGGATGCCTTACCTTGATTGTCATGTCTGCGCTGGATGCTTCTGTGGCTTCGGAGGCTGCCTCGTCGCCCTTCAGCAGCACGTTCTCCCACCCGGCTCCTGGAAAACAATAGACAGTGGCATTGGAGCCAAGTGCAAGCAGGGCATGGAGAGACACACTTGTCATTTGCAGATTCTAATCCCATGTGATTTGTAAAAGATACCGACGCTCATCACTAGCACCTTACCTGCCTGGCAGTGGTACCCCACAGCTTACCTGCCTGGCAGTGGTACCCCACAGCTTACCTGCCTGGCAGTGGTATCCCACACCTTACCTGCCTGGGGGTGGTACCCCACACCTTACCTGCCTGGGGGTGGTACCCCACACCTTACCTGCCTGGGGGTGGTACCCTACACTTTACCTGCCTGGGGATGGTACCTACACTTTACCTGCCTGGCAGTTTCTGGGGAAGCTTCCTTTCAGAAGTGTGGGCCATCAGCACCTCCTTTGTTTTTACTTAACCTCCAGCTCTGGAGTCCATTGCTTACACCCTGTATCTTACAGACCAGTCTATTCTTAGCCTAAAGAAGAGGTTGGAATGCACTCCTTTAGAATCCAGGTCTCATGCTGACATGTTACTTAGGGCTCACAATGGATCCCAGAACACGGAAACCTGCACATCTGAATCTAATTCAGCACCCGAAGAAACAATTCCAGGTTATTCATTGTCCCACATGCCACACACCTGCTGGAAATAACTGAGCTTTCACACTCGCTTGTAAAATCTATATATGCTTTCTCTCCAAGTCTTTTTTTAAATTTTTATTTATTTATTTATTTATTTTTATTAAGGTATTATATGTGTACATATCTTACCAATCCTCATCTCCAACTCTTTTTTGTTGTTAATTCTCACCCGAGAATATTTTGTTTCTATTTATTTTTATTTTATTTCATTTTTTTTTTTCTTTAGAGAGAGTAGAAGGGAAGGAGAGAGACACATAGAGAGAAACATTTATGTGAGAGTCACAGCATTTAATTGCTGATGCAGGACCTTCCAGCACCCTTCCCCTTTACCACCGTGCATAGTAATGTTCCAGATAGTGGTGATTCTATCAGCCTGAGTGCCAGCATGGGGGTAATGCACAGCAGAGACACAGCCAACCCACAGTGGCCATGTAGGATGAGTGAGAACAAAACCTGTACTATTTCAAGCCACAGGAGTTGGGGCTGTTTATTATAGCAGCATAACCAAGCCCAGCCTTAGGAGAAGGAGCCCTCCCAGACTTGCCTTTCCCATCAACCAGTTCCCATTGCAGAGAGTTCTTTACAGAAATCCATTCTAGCCTCTCATTCAACTCTGCCACTTTAAACCTTGTCTTGTCAACCGATTTATAATGAGCCATACTTTCTACTTCTTTGGGGCCAGTCTCTGTTGCCATTGTGCTCAGAGCATCTCATGAAGGTTCACATCTCAAAGACAAGGACATACGCCTGCATAGTCACACGTGCCATCGAAAGTTCCTTCAGTTTCCCATGCTGAACAATATGGCCCCATACTTTAGAAAGCCCCAACCATCACTTTCTGTTTTGGCCTCCGAACAGATCATTTCTTCTGCAAAGTATCAGATGATGCTGTTGGTTTGTACTAAGGAACGTGTTGTACAATAAATATGGATATTGAAACTCTAGAATTTTTCAGGGTTTGGAGATACCTGGACTCTGAGACATAGAAGGAGCTGTGATGGAGTGTGCAATCCACAGATTAACACCTTCCTTGTCATCTTCACTCTGGGGCGTATAATTTAGGATACTTTTGGCCACAGGTAATTGAAAGTCTATTTCACAGAGGCTTAAAGAAAGGACTGACTGGCTCAGAAGAAGTTCCAAGGTAGTGTGGCACCACAGGTGGTTAATTCAATGTCTCCGTGGCTTCGTGGCCTCAGATCGATCTCTGCAAGATTTTTTTACTTTCCTCCGTGGTCTCAAAATGGACGCAGCAGTCCCATGTGTGATGAAAACATCCAGAGGCAGGAAAAAGGAGGAGTCAATAAGCCTTTCACAAAAGTACCCTCCCCACCTCCTCGAGCAGACCCCCAAAGACTCACAGGTCAAAAACAAAGCGTAAATCTATCCCCAAACTGAACGTGGGAAAAGGATTGACTCGGAGCTAATTAATCAAGATTTACCTCCTGGGTAGGGGAGGGTCTCAGCCTTCTCTGAGCGAACGGCCACCTGGACCATGAACAAAAGCACTAAACAGGATCTTGGCCGGCGAGAAAGGAGGGGAGAGGTTGACGGCCATCACAGAAGCAACCGGTAGTCTGACCCCGGGCGACATGTGCAGATTACAGTGGCAAACAGAATTGCTTATACTTTCAAAATGTCTATGTTCTGTTCTATTTCTGTCAACAGTTTAGCTAGAACTATAATAGATACTCAAGTTCATCTAAGTTAAATACTCAGGTCATGTCAGGACTCAGCCTGACCTTCCTGTGGCAGATCCTTGAAGAGGATGCCTTAGCTCCATGACAGAGTAACATGTCCAGCTCCGCCCTCCGCTGTGAAGGCACAACTCTGACCATTAGCCTCGCTTATTGGGGTGCTCATGAGGGCCTGAGCAAGGGGAGCCCCCAAGTGTGTCTGCCTGCTGATGTTTGCTCACCAGTGCTGCATCAAAGAACCCTTATCAATGAACCTGTAAGCACTAGTGGGCAGGACTGGGCTTGATATCTGGCATCACCCAAGTGTCTGCTAAAGGAGAAATGTGATTTGGTGGCATCCAGGTTGGAGGGACAGGGGCTTCAGAGGGGTGTGTGGGGAAGGGGCAGAGAGTGCTAGAAGGATAAAAGAGGAACACTAAGGAAAGGGTGTGGAGGGCAATGGAAAGAGTCGCACCTCCAAATGGATTCACTCTAGACCCTGAAGAAACAACCAGACTGTGTGACCTGTCTTGTCCTCCAGAGCCAGGCCAGTCCTGGTGGTCCCGGACACTTGCCAGCAAACCCAGAAAGAGTAACCACATGGAGGTGTGGTCACCAGAAACAAAATGTGTGGGTGAGAAGACCCTGAGCACTTTGAAGACAGGGCTATCCATGGATGGGCCCGACCCCCAGGCCCACCTGGCCCCTCAGTCACCCCCGGGCACAGAGCAAGGGGCATAACCTATTTCCTTAACGGAACCAGAGTCTGAAGGGGCCTTGAGGCTGCTGCCTAAGCTGCTTTCATATCAGGATAGAAAGCTGCTCTTCCTGACCTTTTCCCGGTCATGTTCCTCACCCCCTCCCAAGGTCAGGCTGGAATGGGCTGTCTTAAGAAGAGCTGAGCCACAAACAGCCTGGAGAGAAAAACATCCCAGACGATGACCTAGGTAGCCTGGCATAAGGAGGAACAGAGGACAGAGCAGCGCCTTCCTCAGCTGTGAGCGTATCTTTTGTTTCCAGGGATTTTGGTAAAACCTTCTCAGATGCATCCAACCTTCTTATCTATCTTGGCTATTCTCTTTCCCATCGCACCTCTGCCTCTTCCCCCATCAGCCCCTTGACCTAGACACGGCCATAGAGCTGCAAGAAGTCTGGGGCCCAGCCCTTCGTGTTCCAGGGAGAGAACTGAGAACCTGGGATAGGAAAGAATGTGCCCACGTATCATAGAGGGTCGCTGGGACGCTGGGACTCTCTACATTACCAGGTTCCCAAGACCAGGGTTCTTCCTGGGGCCCACGTGATATTAAATCCATGTTACAGGTAAAAGACCCATGGCAAAATCATTTTGCTTGATCATGATTGAAAACAATGGGGTTAGGGGTTCCCACCACATCTTAGCTCCCTTCCTTGTCTGAGTCTCCTCCCAGAAGGCCTCGGCACTGAGACGTGCCCCATAGTTCTCTTCCTTTCATTGCCTTTGACTCTGGTTTCAAAAAACCTCGCTCGGTTCTTGGAGGCGTTCTCAGCGGGGTGGTCATTAGAACGCAGCGGAACTGCAGAACAATGACCTGCCTCTACACACTGGGCTCTGGGAAACCCCACCCCAGGATAAGCTGATGGGGCCGCTTCCTGGGGATGGGAAGCCCTGCCCTGGGGTTTGAAGGAGGAGAGCAGGATGTCACCCCACCCTGCCCGCCCCACAGCAGGTGGTGCATCCCTGTTCCTGAGCCCCAGCCTCCTCTTCCTCGGCACAGATGTGAGGCCAGGCCCCGGGCCTCTGGAAGCAGCGCTGGCCGGGCATTTCCCGCTCTCGTGGCTCCCCTCCCTGTGATGAGCTCATCGGGAAAGAGAAAGGGCCGCCCCTTATTTTCCTCAAACTCACCCAGAGGTCGTCTTCCCTCCCCCACCCGTACATTCCCGAGTAAGGGACTCCTGTTTGGGCACCTGTGAGGGGCTAGATGTTCAGGTTGCCCAAAATGCACAAAGAAACACCTCAATACCGTGCCCAGTGCCTTCTCAACCCCTTTGTTCTCCCCACCGACGTGGCCACAGTAGTACCGGTCCTGACAGCTAAACTGTCCCAAGGACAAACCGCAGGTCAAGGACTATGTCTTTAGGCATACATCTCATTTAATCCTCATTCGATACAGGCACATGAGGCAGGCACACTATCAGCCACACTTTACAGGGGAGAAAACTGAGGCTTAACAAAATTAACATGGAAGCACTAAGTACAGTAATGGAACAATACTTAATCCAAGCACTCTGGCCTCAGAGGCTATTTGCTTAACCAGTAAGCTCACTACCATTCAAAAGCCTAGCATTTCTCCTATTTTCAGAGATAGGAGAACAGAAAGATTGAGGATTCTCTTCACAGAAAGAACATTTTCTCCCCTGTGGTTCCAATGCAAGCTGCTTCAGAGCCCACAATGAACAGGTCATCAAAGGTTTTATGAAGGGAAGGAGGGAGGAAGGGAGGGAGGGAGGGAGGGAGGGAGGGAGGGAGGGAGGGAGGGAGGGAGAGAGAGAGGAATATGGTGATATGGCTGGCACTGACCCAATCCAGTGCAGTTGGGCACACATTTACCAAGGATTAACAGGGCCTCTCGGTGGCAACTAGGATGGGCAAGTCTCCTTTCATGCAGGAAGAACTCCAAGGCATGGCTCTTAGAATCCTGGAGTGACCTAGCTCTGCA